AAATAAAATCAATTTCATAGGAGTAGAGAAAATATATTGATCTAAGTATTGACATAAGTATCAGTGTTGAAGTTTAAATTTCCCCTCCAGCCTTCAGACTGTGGGAACTAAATGACAACACAATGAACAGTGTGCTAAGGATGCTCAGGGAAGGAGAAACCTCTCCGTGAAGATCTGTCATGGAAGGCCTCATGAAGGATGGAGCCCTGGGGTGGGGTCTTGAAGCTCAAGAAGCATTTCAGCAGGAGAGCCAGCAGCGTTAGCCCCCAGGACTTTTTCCTCTACACTCTCTGTGGCAGTGTGGCAGGGGCTTTGGGCTCACCAGAGGGTAGAGTGGGAAGGTGGGTGGTGTGGGATGAGAGGCAGCAATGGGCAGTTTGCCAGCCTGCCCGAGGGCCCTGCTGAGCACTTTCCATTTGCCTCTCCTTTCAGAACAAGTACCAGGGCTTCATATTCGACATTGTGACCAAGCAGGCCTTTGATGTCACCATCATGTTTCTGATCTGCTTGAATATGGTGACCATGATGGTGGAGACAGATGACCAAAGTCCTGAGAAAGTCAACATCTTGACCAAGATCAACCTGCTCTTTGTGGCCATCTTCACAGGCGAGTGTATTTTCAAGATGGCTGCACTGCGCCACTATTACTTCACCAACAGCTGGAATATCTTCGACTTCGTGGTTGTCATCCTCTCCATCGTGGGTGGGTATCCAAGTCAGCTGGACAGAGAGCCCTTCCCAGCCAGGCCTCTCCTCCAGCCCCTGGGTCTCTGATGAATGGCAAGTCCAACCCTAGGTTCTTTCTTCCTTTTCTGGTGCATTTCTAACCCACCCACCCCCACAAACACACACACACACCCCTCCAGAGAGAATTTATCTGAGAGGGCCCACTCAGGCCAAGGAGACCAACCTGGCAGAGGACCCAGCACTCCCTCCTGGCCCCACCATCCAGAGGAACCTGGGAACACAGTTCTCTAACTGTTTAGAGAGCTTCAAGGATGAATCTGGGAAAGGAAGCAGGTGCTGTGGAGGCTAGTTCTGCCTGCACTCTAGGTTGAAGGAGAAGGAAGCTCAATCAGAATGAGGTGGGGGGTAGGGGGCCCCTCAGAGTAGAAGTTATCCCTTGAAGATGGAAAATTCTGGAGCTAACTGCCAAAGTGTACACCAGGCTCCTTTAGACATCACCTGCCTCATGCAATTCACCTAGTCAATTCAGCATCAAAGGAGGGAGATCGTACAGACAGGGAGCAGCAGAGACCCAGTCCTGACCCGTGTCTGTTTCACCTCGGAGCCCAGATCTTTTTTTATATATAACAGCTTTACTGAGACATAACTCACATACCATAAAATTCACAGTTAATTTTAAAGTCACTTTACAGTATACAATTCAGTGTTTTTTAGTATATGGACAGAGCTTTGCAATGATCATCAGTATCTAATTTTAGAATATTTTCCTTTCCTCAAAGGAAACTCTACCCATGTAATAGTCACTCCCCATTTCTCCTCTCCCCCAGCCCCTGAAAACCACTTATCTAAAATTTTGAGGGACTGCCAAACTGGTTTTCCAATTGGCTGCAGCTTTTTACATTCTCACCATCAATGTATGAGAACTCCAGTTATTTCCCCACCACCAGCACTTGTTATTGCCTGCATTCTTTTTATGGCAGTCCTCCTAGTGGGTATGAAGTGATATCTCATTGAGGTTTTGGTTTGCAAAAGCAAATGGCTGATGACTGACGATGCTGGCCATCTCTCCATGTGTGTGTTAGTCATTTGTATATCTTCCTTGGAGAAATCACTATTCAGATATTTGGCTCATTTTTTAGTTGGGTTCTCTTTTTATTGTTGAGTTGTAAGAGTTCTTTACATATTCTGGATCATGGTCCTTTATCAGATATATGATTTGTAAATGTTTTCTCCTAGTCTGTGAGTTTTTTAATTTCCTAGTAGTGTCTATTAAAGCACAAAAGTTTTAAATGTTAATGAAGTCCAGTTTACTTATATATTTTTTCTTTTGTCACTTGTGCTCAGAGCCCAAACTCCTAACTCTACCCCCATGGGGCTCTGCCTTGGGATGACTGTGACTTTCATCTTTCTTTCATATATAGCCTCTGGCTCTGGTGAATGTAAAGGGTAATGCAGGGGCTAAGGCAGGTGCTGCTGTGGCTACACTGATGGCCAGGTGGAAGCAGGGAGTAGGGTAAGGAATCTCCAGGGGAGTCTCAAGCAGGGTGAGGGTAAGAGTGTGCCTCATGGACTGGGGAGGAGCTTTAGAGGATGCAGGATGGCAGCAGCAATGGAACCACTGAGGGACAGTCTCAGAGGCTTTGGAAGGTGCAGCGTGCTCATTGAGATCATCTCCTGACCCGGTGTTTGGGCGATATCAGAGAGCAGTGGTTAAGAGATCAACTTGAAGCCAGAATGTCTGAGTCAAATCCCAGCTTCTCGCTCATGAGGTGGCAACTGGGTAAGTTACCTCACCTCCATTTCCTCTTCTGGATATGAGCATGATAGCATCTGCTCACTTCCTGGGATAACAGGAAGGACGAAATGAAATGATGGCTGTAAAGCACTTGGCCCATGGCCCCACTGACTGTCAACACTGGACACATGCCAGTCAGTGATGTTACATAAGGAGTCTGGAAGGGGCACCTGGGCCAATATAAGACAAACTTATTTCACTCTTTATTCTATCATTTATATCCATCCCCCTTAAAACTCCAAACCCAGGTAGTCACTGGAGACCCAGGGGTAGTGAAGCCCTAAAATGGTTAGGAGGGTGATAAGAACCGTCACAGGGAGGCTGAGAGGAGACACTGGCCGTGCGTGGCGTCGGGAGCACTGATTTCTGGGCCAGTGTTTCATTTCCTCTGATGTGCACATAAATCACCTGGGCTTATTAAGATGCAAAGGGCTGGGGTGGAGCTGAGATTCTGCATTTCTAATAACCACCCAGGAGATCCCAAGGCTGCTGGTCCTCAAACCATACTTTAAATAGCAAGGAGCTAAAAGGCCTGAATTCTGGTCCAAGCTGGGCCAGCAGGCTGCTAAGCAGATCCCCTTTCTGGCCTCAGAACCCAAGATGTAGAAAACGGGCCTAGGACAGCTTTATTGTGCATGTATACCCTGAAGATTAAGGAACGAGGGTGCTGAGAAGGCACCCTGCGATGGACCCATTTTTCTGGGTCACAGATGCAGACATGGAGACTCAGGCAGGAGCAGACAGGGTCCTAGCATGCTCAGGGGACCCAGTCCTCCCGGAAGGGCCGCCTCTCCTGGGCTCCTTGCTGTACAGAGGCCCCCCACCCCTGCACAGTGATGCTGGCTTGAGGAAGAAGTACCACCAGGAACCACAGTCTCTGTCATTTTCCACAGGCACTGTGCTCTCGGACATCATCCAGAAGTACTTCTTCTCCCCGACGCTCTTCCGAGTCATCCGCCTGGCCCGAATCGGCCGCATCCTCAGACTGATCCGAGGGGCCAAGGGGATCCGCACGCTGCTCTTCGCCCTCATGATGTCCCTGCCTGCCCTCTTCAACATCGGGTTGCTGCTCTTCCTAGTCATGTTCATCTACTCCATCTTTGGCATGGCCAATTTCGCTTATGTCAAGTGGGAGGCCGGCATCGACGACATGTTCAACTTCCAGACCTTCGCCAACAGCATGCTGTGCCTCTTCCAGATCACCACGTCGGCCGGCTGGGACGGCCTCCTCAGCCCCATCCTCAACACGGGGCCCCCCTACTGTGACCCCAATCTGCCCAACAGCAATGGCTCTCGGGGGGACTGCGGGAGCCCAGCCGTGGGCATCCTCTTCTTCACCACCTACATCATCATCTCCTTCCTCATCGTGGTCAACATGTACATTGCCATCATCCTGGAGAACTTCAGCGTGGCCACGGAGGAGAGCACCGAGCCCCTGAGTGAGGACGACTTCGACATGTTCTATGAGACCTGGGAGAAGTTCGACCCAGAGGCCACTCAGTTTATCGAGTACTCGGCCCTGTCTGACTTTGCCGATGCCCTGTCTGAACCGCTCCGTATCGCCAAGCCCAACCAGATAAGCCTCATCAACATGGACCTGCCCATGGTGAGCGGGGACCGCATCCACTGCATGGACATCCTCTTCGCCTTCACCAAAAGGGTCCTGGGGGAGTCTGGGGAGATGGACGCCCTGAAGATCCAGATGGAGGAGAAGTTCATGGCAGCCAATCCATCCAAGATCTCCTACGAGCCCATCACCACCACACTCCGGCGCAAGCACGAGGAGGTGTCGGCCACCGTCATCCAGAGGGCCTTTCGCAGGCACCTGCTGCAGCGCTCCATGAAGCACGCCTCCTTCCTCTTCCGTCAGCAGGCGGGCAGCGGCCTCTCCGAAGAGGACGCCCCTGAGCGAGAGGGCCTCATTGCCTACATGATGAATGAAAACTTCTCCCGGCCCCCTGGCCCGCCCTCCAGCTCCTCCATCTCCTCCACTTCCTTCCCACCCTCCTATGACAGTGTCACTAGAGCCACCAGCGATAACGTCCAGGTGCGGGGGTCTGACGACAGCCACAGCGAAGATCTCGCCGACTTCCCCCCATCTCCGGACAGGGACCGTGAGTCCATCGTGTGAGCCTCGGCCATACCGAAAAGCAGCCTGTTGCACCGTGGAAAACCTAAATGCAGTCAGTCGCAAACCAGCCTGGGGCCTTCCTGGCTTTGGGGGTGAGAAATGGGCCTCGGCCCCGTGGCTCAGCCAGCCAGAGTTCCGTGGCACCGCGTGGACACCCGGAGCAGCTGGCCTGTGCCTGGAGGCCTCAGGCAGACCCGTGGCCTGGTCTGGTCAGGCAGCGCCTTGGGGCTCTGAAAAGCAACTTCACCCCAGCTGCGGAGGCGAAATAGAAAACTGAGACTGTATATGTTGTGAATGGGCTTTCATAAATTTATTATATTTGATATTTTTTTACTTGAGCAAAGAACTAAAGATTTTTCCATGGACGTGGGCAGCAATTCACGCTGTCTCTTAACTCTGAACAAGAGTGTCTATGGAGCAGCCAGGACTCTGTTCTCAAAGCCGAAGTGGACTCCAGCGTGGTTCTCACGGGCCTTCACTGCCCAGGGGTAGAATGGGGTCCCTCTCCCACTTGAGCTGAGATGCTGGGAGGGCTGAACTCCCACTCACACTAGCACACACAGTCCTCACACATGGAGGCCAGACACAGGCCCCGGGACCCAGGCTCCCAGCCTAAGGGAGACAGGCCTTTCCCTGGTGGCCCCAAGGATGGGGTTCTTGTCTGCGTGGTTCCGTCTGGCCTTCTGTTATCTCCATGGTCCCATTTTCCCTGTGTTTTTACACAGGTCACATGGGGTCAGTCCTACAAAAATACGACTTCCGGAGGAGAGTGGCCTGGGTCCCAGGGCTGGCCCCAGGCACTGATACTGCCTCTTCTCCCCTCCCATAAGAGTATTAACCTTGAAACCAAAGGGCACGAGGGTGCCAGCCCCACTCGTGGCCTGGCATACAGCCTGTCCTTGCTCCTGGAACCTGGCAGGCCTTGCCCAACAGGCCAAGGGAAGAGAAGGCTGAGGCATGTGGGTTTGGGGCTAAGAGGCTCAGCATCCCTCAGCCACGTGGCTCCTCCGCCTGCATGAAGACAGGAAATTTCTGCCATCTCCCGGGGCTCTCTGGACCTTTCTGCCTCTGACCATACATGGAGGAGCTTTCTGTGTGGTCCCCAGCTCCTCTCAAGACGCAGAGACATGGGAGTGAGGAGAGGAACTTGGCCCTGCGCCCTGTGCAGGGAAAGGCGTGGTCAGGCCCAGTTCTCCTGCCTTAGAGGGGAATGACTCGTGGCCCCTTTGGGAGAGGGGGCACTGTGGTCAGGTCCAGCCTCTGTGGCTCAGCCCGGGATCCTGATGGACCCACACACAGGACCTCTTTGGGGCGAGGTCCAGGTGGTCCCATAGGTCTCGTCAGAAGGCTTTTTCAGGGAAAAATATTTTACTAGTCCAATTACCCCCAGGACCTCTTCAGCTGCTGACAATCCTATTTAGCATATGCAAATCTTTTAAGGTAGAGAACTGTCACCCTGAGGTCACAGGGTCAATTGGCGGAGCCTGAGCAGGCAGGGGCTTGGCTGCCCGATTCCAGCTCTCCTTCAGAGCCCCCTCCAGCGGGCATTGCCTCCCAGGCCACCTCAGTCTCACCTGCCCGCTCTGGGCTGGCTGCTCCTAACCTACCTCGCCGAGCTGTCGGAGAACTGGGCATTTGTGACACCCATGGCAGTGCTGAAGGGGGCATTGCCGGCGAGTAAAGTATTAAGTTTCTTCTTGTCACCCCAGTTCACTTGGTGGCAACCCCAGACCCCACCCATGCCCCGAGAGGTCTATTTCTCTTCTCCCGTGTTCCCTTTGAGTCCAGTGTGGGACATAGTTTCACTGTCCCAGCGACGTTTCTCCAAGTGGAAATCCTATTTCTGTAGATCTCTGTGCTTTGCTCTCAAGGCTTGGAGAGGTGTGTGCCCCTCCTGCGCGCTCACCGCCCGAGGGGCAGGCAGGAATGCAATTGAGAGGCAGGCCGGGCTGCCAGCCCAGCTGGCCGGAAGGAGACTGTGGTTTTGTGTGTGTGGACAGCCCCGGATCCTTGAGACAGGTGCCTGGGGCTGGCTGCAGACGGTGTGGCTGGGGGCGGGGGGAGCTAGACCCAACCCCTTAGCTTTTAGCCTGGCTGTCACTGTTTTGATTTCCAGAGCTGCACAATGACCAGCAGGAGGGGAGAAGAGAGTAGGAAAAAGGAGGGAGGGGCAGACATCAAGTGCCAGATGTTGTCTGAACAAATCAAGCACTTCTCACCAAACTTGATGTATAAATAAAATACATATTTTTAAAACAAACCAATAAATGGCTTACATGACCTGGTCTTGGCTCTGTCCTTGTGCTGAGACTTGACGAGAGTGGTAGCAGAGGCCTGAGGGCCTGGGAGATGGCCTCATCCTGAGCAAGTCTGGGGAACCTGCTGAGAGCGAACACAGAGCATAGTAACCACGGTCTAAGTGCACAGTCTGCGGCGTAAGTACATGCACACTGTGGTACCACCGTCACCACCACCCGTGTCCAGAACGTTCGTATCAGCCCAAATTACCCTGAACCCATTAAACACTAACGCCCCACTCCTCCCTTCCCCCAGCCCTGGGGAAATGCCATTCTACTTTCCATCCCTACGAATTCGAATAAGTGCCTTCTGTAAGTGGAGCCACACAATATTTGTCCTTTTGTGACTGGCTTATTTCACTTAGCATCATGTCCTCAAGGTGTATACACATTACAACGTAGCTCCTTCCTTTTTTAGGAGTTTTTTTCAGGATTTTCAGAATTTTCTTTTTTTTCATAAATGTTCAGAATTTCCATCCTTGTTAAGGCTGAATAATATTCCACTGTATGTATTTTGCTTATCCTGTCACGCACTGGGGGACACTTGGGTGGCTTCCACATTTTAGCTATTGTAAATAATGCTGCTGTGAACATGGGTGCACAAATATCTGGGACCTTGCCTTCCATTCCTTTGGGTAGGTGCCCAGAAGTGGAATTGCTGCATCATACGGCAATGTCATTTTTAACGTTTTTAGGAACTGCCATACTGTCTCCCACAGCCAGGGGTTCTAGTTTGTCCACATCCTCACCACCTTTTATTTTCTGTTGTTTTTTTTAAATAGCAGTTATCCTAAAGTGTTGAGGTGGTATCTCATTGCAGTTTTTTTGTTTGTTTGCTTTTTGTTTTTTGAGACGGAGTCCTGGTCTGTCAGCCAGACTGGAGTGCAATGGTGCGATCTCAGCTCACCTTAACCTCCACCTCCTGGGTTCAAATGATTCTCCTCGCTCCTCCCGAGTAGCCAGAACTACAGGTGCCCGCCACCATGCCTGGCTAATTTTTGTATGTTTAATAGAGATGGGTTTTCACAATGTTGGCCAGGCTGGTCTCGAACTCCTGACCTCGGTTGATCCACCTGCCTTGGCCTTCCAAAGTACTGGGATTACAAGTGTGAGCCACTGCGTCCTGCCTCATTGTAGTTTTGATCTGCATTTTTCTAATGATCAGTTATGTTGAATATCTTTTCATGTGCTGTTGGTCATTTGTATTTCTTCTTTGGAGAAATGTCTACTCAAGTCCTTTGAAGTTGTTTTCTTTGTCGTTATTGACTTTTAGAAGTTCTCTCTATATTCTGGATTCTTTATCAGATATATGATTTGCACACATTTTTCCCCATTCTGTGGGTGCCTTTTTACTCTGTTGAGGTTGTCTTTGGATGCACAAAAGTTTAGTTTTCATGAAGTCCATTGTCTACGTTTTCTTTTGTTGACTGTGCCTTCTCAGCCTCCTTTGGCAGAACAGCCTCTGGTGTCTAATGTTCAAGTTCTTTAGGCCCTATGCTCTCTACCAAAAAGAGTGGAAAACACATTCTCTTCCCCTTTGAAGAGTCTTGATCTTTTCCTGAGGCCAGGCCTCTCCCTGGAGCCCCAGGTCAGCAGGTCCAGCTGCTTGCTTTGGACATCTCCAAAGCTTTTAGGCCCAGCTCAGCCAACTCTGAGCTCCTCCGCCTCTCCGCAAGCCTGTCTGTGAAGGTGCTCCCACAAATCCATCCCCAGCCACATGCAGCCCTCACTCCTCACCCCTCACCTGGTCCAAGTCCCGCTGGCTCCACCTCCTTTGTATCTTTCAAATCCCACCTTTTGGCTCCACCTTATTGTCTGTTCCTTGGGTGAGGCCAGCATCGCACCTCATGGAGGCCACCAAGAAGCTCCTTCCTCTAATTTCATCCATTCCAAACTCTTCTCCACTCAGCTACCAGAGTGATATTTTCATCCAAGATAATTACCCTCTGGATAAGACCTCACAGTGGCTTTCTATTGCCTCAGGACCAAGGCAAGCCCCTCACAGGTCCCCCCAGCCCTGCCAACCTCTGTAACAGCATCTCTTCCAGCCCCCAAAGGCTCAGGCTCTTCCTCCTCCCAGCCTTGCCAGAACACCCTTCTCCTTTCCACTCAGCCTTCAGGCCTCCCTGAATGCCCCTTCCTCTGGGAAGCTCCCCTGACACTGCCGGGCCCCCTCCCCACAATGTGCCCACTCTTGATGCTTCCCTGCCACAGCCCTCCATGCTTCTCACAAACACTGCAAAGCCATTATGTGAACACACACAACCCCGGATGTAACAGAACCCAGCCTCAGTCTCTGTCCCTTCCTGTCCCTTTCAGCTTTATTCAGTGGCAATCATCTTCCCTGGCCCTGGAGAAAACCTGGGCAGATCCTGTAGCTTTGAAGCTCTCAGTCTAATCAGTGAGTTTGTGTTGTAAATACAGGCTCAGCCAGGCCAGGAGAGCATCTGATCCCGTGACTTGTCAGAGACAGGGTGCCTGATGGCCTGTCCTCCCCAGGCCAGGCAGATGGTTAGGGATGCTCTCACACAGGGCATGGTAGGATCTCTCTTCTGGGTGCCCCTGGGGATGTCTTCCTTTGCCCATGGTCACTGTGAGCCTAGCCCTTCCTGGCAAGGCCCCTCGGCCCTGCCATAGTGGTGCACACTGGCTGTCTCTCTACTTGCCCACCTCTGGCCCACAGGAAACACGTGGAGTGCTTGTCCCACCCACCCTGACAGCAGTGTCCTCTGCAGCCACGCCCGGCACACTGACCTGCAGCCCTTCCTCCGGGTTCCCAGGGTGGGAGTCAGACCACATCTGCTCATCCACTTGAGCTTTCCTGGATCCTGGAGGCCCGGTTCTCCATGTCTCCAACATCTCAAAGCACTGTGTGCAGCTCTGGAAGCCCCTCGGTCTACCTGTGGTCGGAAGATGGGTGTGCCTGCCATGGGCCTTCCCAGAACCTCCTGCAAGGCAGGCTGGGGTCCAGGAAGTGGCACAGCAGCAGCTCTCCCCAAAGAAACCGGTTCCCGGGCCCAGCGGCCCCCACTCTCTGACCCCTTTTTACATCCTTGATGTGAGTAGGGGTCCAAGTGGGTGGCGCCATTTGTTCCCCTTGTAAACCAACTTCACGTGACAGGCATGTGGTTTGGTGGCCTGAAACCTCCGATATTGGTTCTTTGGTCAAAACTGGGGCAGGGATAGTCCATTCACCGCTGGGTTAATCATCTTTCCCCAACCAGACAAGAGCTTTTCAAACAGCAGACTACATCCAATTTTTTTTTTTTTTAAAAAATATCAGAATATAAAATAGCGGTGTATCCCATATGGGAAGGGTGAGTGTTTTGCGAAACTGTAGTTTCAGCTCTATATAAAACTTGGGTGAGTGCCCATGTCCGTATCCTGGTGAGTGATAGAAAACAAACTTCTTACGAGGAGCCTCAGTGAGAAGGATTTAAGAGCAGCACAAGAAGAGCCCACGTCTGCTTTACGCAGTGCTGCATCCCGGGACTAGCTTAGCGGCTGGCACATGGCGGGAACTGACTACTGCGCGTGTGAGGCTGCGACCCCGCTGTGAGGCCATGAAGGTGGTCAGGTCTCTCTCACAAGCTCCAGGGGTCCTGACTACCGCCTTGGTCTGGGCCAGCGGGCAGCTTCCCGCATTGTTCTTGAAACCACGGCTTGGAGCCCAGACTTCTCAGCCCATTGGGTGGGGTTTCCCTGGCTGCCTGAGGTGGGCCCTCACTTGGCCTGGGACATGGGTGGGCTCACCGGGCAGGAGGAGTGAGTGAGGCTGGGACATGGCTGAGGCTGAGAGAGGGGGCCTGTGCTTGCTACAAGGCTGCAGCTGTCACTGGGTCACTCTGGGGTGAGGCTGGGGTCCAGGCAGCGGGTGGCTCTGTGGATGATGGATGCCGGCTCCTGTGTCAGCAGGAAAGCATGCAGCCCAGAGATCTCAGCCCTTGGCAGGGAGAGAGATGCTCCTGGACAGACGTCAGCTCTCACCCTGGGGGCCACAGCAGCATTGGCAGCTTCCCTATCCCCCGTGCCAGCAGCTCCTCTGCCATCAGCCCTGATGGCCACGAGACTCAGAGCCCAGGAGGTTGGGAGGGTCAGGGAGACAGAGGCCCAGGCACTCCTATAGGCAGAGACAGCAATGGGGACAGCGACTGAGAGTGAGGCAAGGGTGTTATGGCAACAACGCCAAAGGGCAGCCAGTGATGGGCTCAGAGAAGCCGCAGGGACTAGTGTCCCCTGCCACTGGCTGCTTCTGAGTCTGTGTGTGCCGGCACGGTGCCTCTGCACACCGCCATTGCTCTAAGCACACTGTTACTGTGCAGGCCACCTGTGGGTCTCAGGGCTGTTTGTTCATAACACAGTCTCCAGCCCCTGCCCCAGCACCTGGCACAGACGAGGAGCTGGGAATGTTTGCAGAAGAAACAGACGGATCAGTCAGCCGATTCACTCTCTGCTGAGTTCCCCCGGACCTGCTCCTCCATTTGAACCCTTCTTGTTCCCTCAAGTCTCCTGCCCCTTTTCTCACCAGCAGTCTCACCTTCCACTCTTTGTTTTTCTGGAAACAGGTCAGACACAGGACCATTTGAAATTCTCACCAGATGGAGAAACACGTGTGGATTCACCATGCACTCGTGTACATGCAAGGCACAGAGGCTGCATCAGGGACGAGGCGCAGGGGCACAGGGAGATACCTGAAACCCCAGGAAGGAAGGGCAGCCTTCCTGTCCTAAAACCCCTCAGGCCAGGGCCCCCAGGACGTTCCCAGGGACAGAGGCAGACAGACAGGCTGGAGAAGAGTCAAGGAGAGGGGATGGGTGAGGAACTTAGTTCAGAAATGATGCTGAAAGGCGGCAGCTGCCAAGCTCCATCTGAGGGCATCCCAGGGGGACCCCAGGGTCCCTTCAGGAAGCACCACCTCATGTGGGTATCCCAAGCCAGCCTGAGTGGCAGGGGTCGGGGCCAGGCCAGCCTGAGCCCAGCACGTGTAATGACCATCCTGACAAGCATTTCCTCCCATGCCAACTCACGGAGCTGGCATCCCCAAGCAGCTGCCAGGCACCTGCTGTCGGAGAGAAAAGCCCCATCATCTCAGCCTTTGTGGACAGACAGGCCAGCTCGGATTCCAGAAAGGCGTGCAAGGTCAGCGTGGAGCCCCCTTCCCGGGTGTGGGCTGAGCAGCTGGCAGTACGTCCTGTCCTTCTGCCTGCCCGACTCCGTGCCGGCCTCAGTGTGAGGCAGAGCATCACAGAGTGAGCACTGGGATCCTAGGTGCGAGCTCGCCTCCAGTATGTGTCCTGGGAACCGTCTCTCCTTGGGGCCCATGTCTGCCACTCATCCTCCCAGGCATCACCCCCTCCCTGGCAGGACCAGGCCGCTTCTGTACGGAAGACTGTAGGAGTTGTGGCAAGGAAGGCAGAGGGCAGGGAGGGCTTGCCCAAGAGAAGCCGGTTTAAGAGAGATAATTGGGGCTCCTGTATCCTGTATCAATCTATCACATTTATAGCCTTCACTCCAGACAGGGGACAACAAGGAAATGACAAAAGCCAATAAAGCCAATAAGTAAAGGGTAATGGAATCATCAGTGTGTGCAGCCTGTTCCCCGAGGGGCAGGGCCAGGAGCAGGGCTCGGCCCCTCCCTTCAGGCTCTGTCTCAGCTTCACCCACAGGCCCCGGGAGACAGTTAAAACCACTCACCAGCCCCCACGGGGGTGCCCAGCTGGATTTCCAGCTGCTCAGGCCAAAACGCTTGACGTCATCCTTGCCTCCTCACTTTTTCTCACACCCCACATCCAATCCGGCCGGAAATCCTGTTGGCTCTGCCTTGGAAACGTATCCCAAGTTCAACCACTTCTCAGCCTCTCCACTGCCACTGCGCCGGTCTGAGCCGCCATCATCTCTCTCTTGGATTCTTGCAGCGGCCTCCTCCCTGGCCCTTGTCCCCCACACAGCAGCCAGCGGGGTCCTGTTAAAATCGAGTCAGATCACGGTCACCGAGAGCCATCCAGCGGCCCCATCTCACCCAGAGGAAAAGCCTTTACCCAGCCCTGATCCATCCCTCACCCCCGTGCCCATAGAGCCCCTCTATGGCCTGACCTCTTGCTCCACTCCAGCCACAGCGGCTCCTTCCTGGTTCCTGAGCAGGCTGAGCATTCCTGGCCTGGCACAGGAGCACTGGCTGTTCCCTCCTGCCTGGAGCGCTCTTCCCCCAGGGATCAGCCTTAGCTCCCCTCCTTCTTCTTCCAAGTCTCAGAGGTCACTTTTGCAACAAGGCCATCCATGACCACACTATTTTCTTCCCTTTCCCAGCCCACTGTTTTTATTTTTTAATCAGTTTTAGGAAAGTATAATTTATAAACAATAAAAGGCACCCTCGTGAAATGCACAGTTTGATGAGTTTTGGCAAATATGTAAGCAGCACAGCCACCATCATTAAGATATGGAACAATTCCATCACATCAAGAAGTTGTCTCACCTCCTTCATGGTCAATCCCATTCCTGGCAATCACTGATTGGTTTTCTGTTCCTATAGATTTGCCTTTTCTGGAGAGTTCATGTAAGCGGAGTAATTTTTGTATGCAGCCTTGTGTGCCTGGCTGCTTGCCCTTAGCACAATGCATGAGAGATCCATCCATGTCATCGTCTGTATCAGTTTGCTCCTTTTTATTGTTGAATAGATGTACCACAGTTTGTTTCCATTCAATAGTTGATGGGCATTTGAGTTGTTTACCATTTTTTGCTATTGTGAATAAAGCTGCCATGAACATATGTATATAGGTGTCTGTGTGGGCTTATATGTTTTGGGTTTTTTGGTTTTTGGTCTTTTTGGTTTTGTTTTTGTTTTTGTTTTTTTGAGATGGAGTTTCGCTCTTGTTACCCAGGCTGGAGTGCAATGGCGCGATCTCGGCTCACCGCAACCTCCGCCTCCTGGGTTCAGGCAATTCTCCTGCCTCAGCCTCCTGAGTAGCTGGGATTACAGGCACGCGCCACCATGCCCAGCTAATTTTTTGTATTTTTAGTAGAGACGGGGTTTCACCATGTTGACCAGGATGGTCTCGATCTCTTGACCTCGCGATCCACCCGCCTCGGCCTCCCAAAGTGCTGGGATTACAGGCTTGAGCCACCGCGCCCGGCCGGTTTTTTTTTTTTTTTTTTAGATGGAGTCTCACTCTGTCACTCAGACTAGAGTGCATTGGCACGACCTCAGCTCACTGCCACCTCATCCTCCCAGGTTCAAACAATCCTCCCACCTCAGCCTCCCAAGTAGCTGAGACTACAGACATGCACCAACATACCCAGCTAGGTTTTTTGTATATCTGGTAGAGGCAGGGTTTTACCACACTGCACAGGCTAGTCTCAAACCCTGGAGCTCAAGTGATCTGCCTGTCTCAGCCTCCCAGGCATGCTGGGATGACAGGTGTGAGCCACCACACCTGGCTATGTTCTTGTCTCTTGAGTAAATACCTAAGAATTGAATTTTAGAGTTACGTGAGGAGCATACGTTTAACTTTACATGAAATTGTCAAATGTTTTCCGAAGCATTTGTTGGCTTTGCATTCAGCAGTGAGAGCACCGCTTGCTGTATCTCCACGCCAGCATTTAGTGTTGCCAGCCTTATTTTACCTTTAACTTTAGCCATTTGAGTGGGTGTAACTTGTCATTTTAATTTGCATTTCCCTGATGACCAATGATGTTGAGCATGTCTTTTTTTTTCTTCAAGGGACAGGGTCTTACTCTGTCACCCAGGCTGGAGTGCAGTGGCACAATCATAGCTCATTGTAATTTAAACTCCCAGACTCAAGTGATCCTCCCACCTCAGGCTCCTAACTGGGACTACAGGCATGAGCTATTTTTTGTTTCTTTAATTTTGTAGAGATGGGGTCTCCCTATGTTGCCCAGGCTGGTCTCAAACTCCTGGGCTCAAACAGTCCTCCTGCCTCGGCCTCCCAAAGTCTAGGATTACAGGCATGCGCCACCGTCCCCATAACATGGGCATCCTTCCATGTGCTTATCAGCTACTCCTCTATCTTCTTTGGTGAAATGTCTGCCACTGTTTTAACGAGATCTCAACAATGCTTCTATGCTTACATCATCACTGGAAGGAGCAAGCCTCCCTGTGTGTGATAAACTTCCACTGCTCTGACACGGGCTTTCCCTGTGATCTGGGGAAACTAAACTCACTGCTCCAATCTCTGTTCCCTCGTCTATAAAATGGGGAAAATAACAACAGCTGCTTCCCAGGGTAGTGTGAGGGCTGAGGAAATTAAGATTTGTAAAGAATTTACGATGATCCCCAAAATATAGCAAGCACTGAATAAATGTCTAGTATGATGACGGTGATGATGATTACTAACCCCTCTGTGACTCATTCATGTCAATCCCATTTCCCTCTTCAAGCCCAATGTTTTAATCTATAAATGGCTGCAGGAGAGGCCGGGGGCTGAATAATCTCTAAGTCCTGTCCACAGCAGCAGCCCTGAGGTCTAGAATCGCTCTGTTTATGGACACACACTTACAGGTCCTTTCCCCTCCCAGGGCATGCCCAACAGCCAGCCACCGACGGGACTCTAGAGTTATACACACAAGGCAACAGGAAGCTCACCTCCAACTCCTAACCCCCAGAAATGGCCTAGGCCCAGCCCCTCAATCATCCAACAGAAGGACCATGAGACACTGAAAGGATAAGGGAGATGGAGAAGTCAGAGGCAGAGCTGGGAAGGGCAGGTGACACCAGGCAAGACCAAGAAATGGCGGAAAGCTGGGGAGGGCAGTGTGGCCGTGCAGGGCTGCATGTCCTGCTCCCGCAGTGGCTCCACGTGCTCTCCCACTCCAGCCTCTACCTGCCGCTAGGCAGCTCCACAGGTCTGCAGGCCAGGCCTCCAGCAGCCCTGTCTTCACCCCTCCCTGACTCGGAGGGAAAGCTGGGCCCCCGAGGGAAGCATCTCAAGTCCCTGAGCCCCTCCCTTGCAGCCCGTGGGGTGGGGAGGAGGACAGAAATGTTGGGAAATCAGTGCACACAGATCTGGGGCTGGTGCCAGGGTGCCACAGGGAGCGAGGAGGAGGTGATGAGAGAAGGGTATGGCAGCTCGGCAGGGCCCAGGCCGCAGGCAGGGCAGGAGGAGCAGTGGGGATGAGACTGGGGCAGCGGAGGGGCCAGGAGGCTGGGAAAGCAAGGGGGTTACAGAGGGTAGAGGTCAGAGATTTCTGAAAGATCAGATCAGGGAGGAGAGGAGGTCCTGAGTGGCCAGGGTGCAAGAGGGGTGAGGAAGATGAGAGCAAGGAGCAGGGGTGAGGTTGGAGGAGACGAACCTCTGGTCCTCCCAGCCTCCCAGCCCTTCACTTCCACTAAGCATGCTCTTCACGCTCATTGTCACCTCCTTGACTGTGGGCAGCCCTACCCAGCCTTCCCAGCCTCCAGCCCCCGCCAGGACCCACTTGGCACCCTGGCCACCCAATGTCCTCTTCCCCTCCAGGCCAGCCACCACCTCAGTGCCGCCCTCACCACCCGCCTGCTGCAGGGCCCCTACCACAGAGCCCCCCAAAGCCAATTTCTACGCTCTTGCACCCTGGCTGAAACACACCCACCCCCAAGCATAGATTCACTATAAAGCCACACGTCTCCCCCTGCCAGCCCTACCTGCCACCCTCTCTCTTGTGGACAGGCTAACATTTGAAGGATGGATGAATACTGAGCAGTGGAGCCAACTGGAGGCCCCAGAACCAAAGGGTCCCCTTCCTCACTCACTCACTCCCACCAAGTGAGATCAGCCTACATATGGGACCCGCTGGGGAAACCGAGGCATCTGTCCACTCTTTGTTTAGCAACAACATATGAGCATCTTAGAGATAATGGAGTTACAATAATGAGCAAAACCAGGCAGGATCCCTGTCCTCACGTAGCTCACAATCAAGTTAGGAAAACAGATATTAGCCTCCAAATCCACAAACAAGGCTGTTTATAGTTACAAAACTATATAGTGGGGTGGGAAGTACAAAGAGCAATGAGGGAGAATCTCGGGGGAGCAGGGGCGGGAAAGCCTCTGTTGAAGATGTGGCATTTGAGTCCCCCCATGGCAGGTATTTCCAGGTAGAGGGAAGAGCAGACGCAGAGGCCCTCAGGTGGAAGGGACGTGGCCCACTCCAGAGGGAAAGAAAAGGCCCACACGGCTGGACCCAGAGAGTGAGGGGAAGTCCAGCCCGGTGAGGTCCAGGAAAAGAGTGAGGACGTGACTCCGAGGCACCGTGGAGCTGCTGGAGGGGTCGCTGTTGCACATACTTTGTATTATTTGGGGATGGGGGTGTAGATGCTCATCAGATTTGTGCTTTAGAAAAATCCCTTTCTGCTCTGATGAGGAGAAACTAATCAGGTGATCTATAGAGAGGGATGAGGGTGACTTGGACCTGGATGGGGACAGTAGAGAATTAGAAACTTGGGAGCCATTCTGGATGCAAAATCGGCAGACAGAGCACTCGGAAGTGGGAGAGGAGGTGTCTCTGGCCTCTGGCTAGGACAGCCATGAACGTGCCACAAGAGGCTTCCTAAGATCACCTCCCAGGCAGCCCTCAGGCCTCCTACATCTGCCTCATGAACCCTTGGCAAGCAGAATGGACAACCACTTGGGGACCTGTTCTGCCCAAGAATGAATTCCAGCTCCCGTCCACCCAGATCCTGCCTCTTACAGCCACCACAGGGAGCCAAGCTGCAAAAAGAGCAAGTTCCCAACACCTGCTGAGGTAGCGCCCATTTGTTGCTGGTGATGGTGACACTGGCTTCTCCAGCATCTGTGGATGCAGCTGTTTGAACTGTCCCTTGGGCACAGAGCAAAAAGGTGGCCTCAATCCACTTTTAATTTTTTCTGTTAACCCATCAAGAATTTACATGGCATGTGCAGTCCCTCCCTCCCTTAAGGGATTTTCACCTTCTGAATTGTTAAAAAAAAAAAAAGCAAGCAAAATAGGAATTGG